AATTCGGATAACATTTTTAACTTACAAAAGCAGCCCTTGTGTTTACACCTGCACGTAAATTTTTACAATGGCTGTGACAAGAAGGAAGTAATATATCAAAAAGCAAGAATTAGAATAAACTATCGAACCCATCTTACTTGAGTTTATTAATGCTAATACAGATTAAATCTGGTAAATACTGAATCTCTAAAGCAGGCCCAAAATGACAAAATAATATAATATGTTGCAGGCTCGGTTGGGTTCAGTCTAATAAGTATCTTTAACAAAATTTAACTAATACACCTGACAATGGTGCGATTTTGAATAAAGAAACATCCGCAGATGTGTTCAAGCGGCGGTTATCATTGAACCTACTATGAGACAGGTTTGTACCATTCGACAAAAAGCGGCATATGTTTCAAAAACAAAGGAATGTGTGAGCCTTACATTAAAAGGAAAAGGCATATAATGTTTTGTTTTACATAATTATGTCAGTGATTCATATTCCTTAAACGTTTTTCAAATTGATAAATGAATAAACAAATAAAATAATAAATAAATTGGACAATCTGTAAAAAGAATTACAAAAAAAGATAATATAATATAACACATGTTTTATCATCATGCTGTCAGACAAGTCTTCATAGTCCTACAAACATGTTATGTGATGCATAGGAACTCGAGACCGCATATTTTCGATCGTGTAACGGTTTTTAAAAACGTTTCTGCTACATCTAAATATCTTTAAGTATTATCCGAGTATATGGCCTCAAACAATATATTATCACTTGAACCCAATCTGTTACTTTTAAAACTGGTAAAATGTTACGGTATTATAAAAAAAGACAAGGAGTGAATCCGCCATTTGCCGCAACGTTTGGCATGAGTTTTCCCCCTTTGGCTACACTTGATTACTATTTTTTCAGAATTTTGTTCCCGTTATCGTCGTCAACTATCAGGTATCGTAACGGTTTATTGTTTACACGTATTCACGGGGGAGGAAGTGTTACACGAAGGATGGAGTTCTTATGATAACTTGTTTGGAGTTCTTATGATAACTGTCACGGAGTTCCTGGAAAACGTTACGGATTTCTGTGGAAAACTTTTCTATTTACTTGGAGAACTCACGTGAAAAATGGTCATTTTAACTTTAAATGGGGAGTTTGAGGTGCTAAATTAAACTTTGATAATTAAGCTTGCCCTACATATTGTATAATGTTTCAGAAAAATCTTTTATTCCATTTTTCATCGCCTATTTATAAAAATTTTTGGTAGTTTTGAGTAAAATTTCCAAATTACTTGCTCATTCGTACATATTGACCTTTTCATTTGTGATCTTCTTCGTTGCTATACATAATTACATAATTATAATGCAGAGTTGCAAACATAAAGCCCATGCTAATAAATTTATACCCGATTTTTCAAATGTCACGGAGTTCTTGTGATAACTCAAAATATGTCCTGGAGTTCTTATGATAACTTTTGTTACTGCCAGTGTGTTTCTTGTGCTAAATTACGGCCCGTTTAAGCGTATTTTATTAGTCAATAAGTGTGTAAATCATTATGAAGCATAGTACGCGTATCATTTGCACACACATTTGGTTATATAACGGTGGTTTAGAGTGTATTTCAGTTCAAGAGATATTTTTCTTACCTCCGTTTCTTGTGTTTTATTTGTGTTTGTTTGGGTTTGTTTGATTGTTGTTTTTTTTCATTTCATTGGAATGACTGAAAACATACTTGATGTAGAGCATTTACTTACAGGATGAAAATACGCTTGAATTTAATATCTAAGCATGATTTCTTCATGTATACATTATTCCTAGCAGTTCTAGAAAACATTAAGTAATTATACCATCGGATTACATGTAAATGGATGGTTTGCAGCAAAAAAGGAAGTAGTATGCACTACCTTTATCTAAATTTAATGAGGTGGGTGTCATCTTTAGATATTCAATGGATATCTTAATTTCTAAAACGTATCAATTTTGTCATAGAAACGTAAAAGTTACTATGACAATGATATGACAATAGAAAGTAAGAATTTAATAATATATGTGAGTCACCATTAAAGGCTAACTTTCTATTGTCATAGAACTTTATACGTTTCTATGACAAAATTTATACCTTTTAGAAATTAAGATGTCCATTGAATATCTAAAGATGACACCCACCTCATTAAATTTAGATAAAGGTAATGCATACTACTTCTTATTTTGCTGCAACCATGTACATGTAATTTGTTTCGGCAGACCGATAGCATAATTACTTTATGTTCTCTAGAACTGCCAGGAATAATGTATACTGAAGAAATCATGCTTAGATATTAAATTCAAAGCGTATTTTTATCCTGTAAGTAAATGCTCTACATCAAGTATGTTTTCAGTCATTCCAATGAAATGGAAAAAACAACAATCAAACAAACCCAAAAACCCAAAGAAACACACAAAAAAAAACACAAGAAACGGAGGTAAGAAAAATATCTCTTGAACTGAAATACACTCTAAACCACCGTTATATAACCAAATGTGTGTGCAAATGATACGCGTACTATGCTTCATAATGATTTACACACTTATTGACTAATAAAATACGCTTAAACGGGCCGTAATTTAGCACAAGAAACACACTGGCAGTAACAAAAGTTATCATAAGAACTCCAGGACATATTTTGAGTTATCACAAGAACTCCGTGACATTTGAAAAATCGGGTATAAATTTATTAGCATGGGCTTTATGTTTGCAACTCTGCATTATAATTATGTAATTATGTATAGCAACGAAGAAGATCACAAATGAAAAGGAATGAGCAAGAAATTTGGAAATATTACTCAAAACTACTATTTTTTTATAAAAAAGCGATGAAAAATGGAATAAAAGATTTTTCTGAAACATTATACAATATGTAGGGCAAGCTTAATTATCAAAGTTTAATTTAGCACCTCAAACTCCCCATTTAAAGTTAAAATGACCATTTTTCACGTGAGTTCTCCAAGTATATAGAAAAGTTTTCCACAGAAATCCCTAACGTTTTCCAGGAACTCCGTGACAGTTATCATAAGAACTCCAAACAAGTTATCATAAGAACTCCATCCTTCGTGTAACACTTCCTCCCCCGTGGTATTGACATGCACTAGTACATGTTTGACATGTATAGTCGGCATTATAACGGGCGTATTCGTGTTATGATTTGTTTACATGGAGAAAACAGACACTTTAGTAATATGGTCTAATAGATTTTGCGTAACTGAAAAAAGGAATATTAAAACATGATCCATAGATAAATATTCAAGGCACTCATCTGGTATTCCTTATTAGGAAATGTGAAAGTTTCCCATGTATTGAGTGACAAACAAAGGGGTCCGACACACTTGGGTGTGTTCATATATAGTGTAATGAAGCTACACAAGCAATTTGACAAAAAATATATGGACAAATATTTTATATAGAGACAAGGGATTTAACTCTAACATTACCCTATCACTGACAGTCTGTGAAAAACAGTCCACAATTTAAACAAATATCACTTTAGCCTTTTCATTTCTCTGCTTATCACAATGTTATACCATGCTGATCACTATAAATACAACTTCAAATAATTCCTGCAAACCGTTAGTGTTCTATAAATGTTTACCTTTCCCAAAATTGTCCAAAATGAAGTTCATTTACACGAGTGTGTCCACACACGCTAAGCCCGTAAATACACGTTTCCGTGATGATTTCCAGCTATTCACCGATACAGTTCGTTGAAAAAACTTCTTGACGATATATTTCCACCTATAGTCTTACACAAAACACTAATCACAGGCGAGAAATCAACTTTACATCGGTTTCTGAAAAATTTACACTGGCCGCAGACATATTGGTGGTCACGTGACTTTGACATTTCCGCCGATGAAAGCGAGGATCCCATTGGCTACACGCTCACAGGTAACTGGTTCCACTATTTACGCTCGTTGTAATAAAACATGCCGGAAAGCTGTACAATGTAAACAAATGCACATGTTTTAACTTTTTAAACGTGGACAAGTATTAATTTTGCTTACGAAAACAACAGACTTGTAACAAGTTATTTATAAGTTTTGTTTAGTTCTTATACTTTTTAAGTATCTATTGCCACCCAACAATGAGTGTAAACTGGTAAGTTTAATGAATACCTAGGATTAAAGTCAATGTACAGCATAGTGAATCAGCTGTTCTTCAGAATGAATTAAAAAAAAATTTCAATCTCTAATTTGCAAAAATAACATGTACATAACTTTTTTTTTTTCATTTAAACTTGCAATTTTCAATTATTTCCAATGTTAAGAATGGCATTGAGGTTATTCCTGCCATTACACATAAAACAATTATATATTGTACAAAGTGCTAAGAAGTCCCCGTGCAATGTTACTACATACTTGTTATGAGTATGACATTTTTAATGCAGATTCCTTTAGTGGTACAAAAAACATGTGGGGAAAGTACTCAGTTTTCAGTTTTACCAACCCCCCAGCCTTGAAAAAAAGGTATTTACTGCTTAGTTAATCAGGCAAGGCAGTTAGCAGTATTGTCTGTCAATATATGTCGCAAAAATGTATCAAAGTTTGCATAAAAGTAAATCGATGAAATAATTAAAGTGTTTAAGATTTACTATTCCATATGTGCAATAGGGTGTGTAACATGTTATTAATCCCCTTCTGCATAGCAGAAAGGGTACTATATAGGAATGGCCTTCGTCCGTCAGAACGTCCTTCCACACTCACAAGACAGTTATTATGTGGGTATGGTCTACATTTTGTCTCCCTCCATAACTTTCTCCCTCCATAACTTTTAAACCTCGGGGTTTTTTTGAATACAAATGTAGCTTGGCAAAAGTGATCACCATTATGAGAGAATGTGCAGAGCACAATAATTGCATTGCTATCTCAAAAGTCAAGGTGAAAGTTAGAGTCAAATGTTAAAAGGTATACATTTCATGTCCGCTCCATAACTTAAATTGCTGATTTTTTAAAAAAAAAAACATAACTTTTTATGACTGATCACTATTTATGAGACGATGTGCAAAGCGCAATACTTGAATTGCTACAACCAAAGTCAAGGTCACACTTACAGGTCAAATGTTAGAAAGTGTACATTTCGTGTTTGCCCATAACATTTAAAACGCTGCAATGTTTTAAGATAACTTAGCAGAAATGTTCACCATAACATTAGCAGACAACAATATTCAAGTTACAACCCTGAAGGTCAATGTCACTCAAAGGTCCAATGTAAAAACATATTTTTTTCATGTCCTTTCTATAACTTATTGACAATTAGAATGTTTTAAAATTACTTGCCACAAATGATCACCACCATGACACAATCTGCAGAGCTCAACATCCAGGCTGCTAACGGCAAAGTCCAGGTTATATGTTCTCCATAATTTTTTTTAATTTATGGAAAATTTTAAATAACATGACACAAATATCAACATCATGAGAGTATGTGCTTATGATATGCATGACCTAACATCAAGGTCCTGGCTGGTAAAAGGTCAAGAAGTACACATTCATCCTCACTGTGGAACAGGATTTAGCTGTCCTTCAGGCTGCCCTGTTACTATTATAATCACACTGTTCAATTTTAATCACTCCAATTTTAAATTTTCTATGAATATTCCATTTAAGTTATCTTTTAAGGCCCATTAAGCCTTAATATGCTAATATTTCATTGTTCAAAAGCTTTTAATTTTGGTGTCATGAAGTTACTCAATGATTAGAAAGCTGAAGTATGCTTCTTTAAATAATAAATCCCAACAATTTGTGACAAATCCTTCACAATTTTCTTTGAATTATTAATATAGAATACAAGTCATGATTTATTTACATTCCTGACATATCCATTCAACACCTTCTTTATTGTATTTATTCCATTGTCTAGTATTGCCTAATTTAGCACATTTTCGGTGGTACCAGCCGTCACAGCCATCGCATTGAATCCACTCATCATCTTTGTTTTTAAAGCATTTTTTACACATATCAGAATCCGATTGTTGAGAAGTAGATGCCTGTTGCATGTTGATAACATGTTCTTCATTGAAAGAAGTTGAGGGTAGTTCCTGTAAGGGCACTGTTTGTGATCTACACTTTTTTTTAGAAACAGTATCACTTGATTTTTCAACTATCTTATGTTTTGCTGGCAATTTAATTTGTTTCCTGTGTGCCATTTTTTTCTCAATTTTACTGGCAGTCTTTACATCTCTCCTAAACTGGGCTAGAAGTACAGTTATATATTTTTCAGTCAATTCTTTAAATATATCTTCAATTGTTTCCAATGTGCCACTGTTACTGTTTTCAGATTGATCAAATTCTATTATGTGTTCGGATGAAATTTTGTTTTTAACAATCCTTGAAAAATTTTCTTTAAGGTTTTCATCCCGATTAATAATTTCAACACATTTTATATACATGTCCTTTCCAAATGTTAACAGATTTTCATATATGAAAAAATTTAAGGACTTTTCAGTTAACAATATAAAGAATGAATACAAACAGTCTGTGATATTGGTCAATCCATGAGATATACCTTGTCTGTTTTGAATGTCAACTAATGATTCTGGTTCGGAAGTATTTTCTTTTAAAAAGTGCTCTTCCTCCTTCAATAAATTTAATATGTAAAGTTTGCTTTTAGCTTCATAATATGCATTTTGACCCTCCTTCGATTTCGAAAACATATGTGACTTGTGTCTTTTTAAGTATTTTTTTCTTAACTTTGCAACACAATAACCACCTGCTACAGAACGAATTCTAGCTTTCGATGCAGCTGTAACATATCTTTTCTTAACTCTTGTAGTTTCATTTGGGATTGAGTCCACTTTCTTCTGTATGCAATATACTCTAATGGATTCCAAAATTTTGTAACAAGTAATTATGTGCTCATTTGACAACTTTTCTTCACTTTCAAATAAAATCATGCAATTTAATTTGTATTCAGGTCCAGTATTATACTCATTAACAAGTGAGAAAAATTTTATCAACTGCCCTTCTGGTATTTTATGTGTTATTGGTTCATCATTCTCACATATTAATTTGATGAAGTCATTCATCTTTAATAAGATTTTCTTCACAAACAATTGTAATTTACTATCCTGAAGTCTGGAAACAATTTCTTTCTGTTCTCTTAATGATGGAGTAACTTCCTTTTCAATTATAAGATCTTTTTTAATGCTATCCAATAATCCATCCGGAATTTCAAAATTCAGTGTTTTTTCTTCATCTGTTACAATTGCGTTAAGAATTTCATCAAATTCATCCTCCAGTTCAAAATTTATTATGTCTTCACTGCTCTCATCATTTGTATCAACATATGCACTGCAAAATAAAGGATAATATTACATTATTTTATACATTATGTATTAATATATTACTGTGCATTTGATAACATAAAAAAGAGCATCATGATGGTCCTTGAAAACCAACCTGATGTATTATGATGAATAAGGTCATAGTACTTTAATGCAAAAGCCGTTTATATAGCATTTGGTTTTTCTTTTATAAAGTTGCATAATGCTAGATGTCTCATACATGCCCAATATGTAAATTCTTTTCACATAGAAGACTTAAATGTGTTTTACAATGTAATTTAAAGCAAATGAAAAAAAATTGAATGAAAAATTAAAAAATTTATTCAAAATTAAAATATTTTGAACAAAACAAACACACAATAATTTTCCAACTGCAAACAGTAATTACAATCCATGTAAATAAACAAGAGCGATGAGTGATCACATGTGTCGCCTCATGATGGCCAATTTCATGTTGGGACAAGTTTTGTGACAGACGGACAGACAGACGGACAGTGCACAACTAGAATTGGTACTGATCATTCCTGTAAAGTTTGGATAAAATTGCACCAGTAGTTTATGAGGAGTAGTCCGGACAAGGTTTTGTGTATCTGGCAACACACAGAAAAAACACCTGTTTATCAAAGGGCCATAACTCGGCCAAACATCATTCAACCGGAAAACCTGTGCAATATGCGCAAGGACTTGAGCTACAAATCAATCCTGTAAAGTTTCATTGAAATTGCATTAGTGGTATAAGAAAAGTAGTGCCGACAAACTTTAAAAATAGAAATTATTAAAGGGCAGAAACTGTGACAAAAATCATTGAACCTGAAAATGCTAACAATATGCACAACTAGACTTGGTACTAATGATTCCTGTAAAGTTTGGGTTAAATTGCACCAGTAGTTTATCAGGAGTAGTCCGGAGAAGTTTTGTGACGGACAGACAGACAGACCGACAGACAGATGACGGAGAAGTGATCCCTATATGTCGCCACTACTCCGTAGAGGTGACACAAAAATTAGGTGAAAATATGCAAAAATAGCTTTTACTGCATTACTATAAAGCATAAGAAATTTTCAAATATGTTTAAAAATAATTACACATTAAATTGAAATGATTACTTTATCTTGAACAATTTTCTAATATTCTTTACATGTCGGTATTTTTTTATAACTATAATGTCTCTTGAAAAAAAGGGATTAATCTGGAGGCATGCAGCTTTAAAATAAATAATTACCAGAGCGGGACCCATGTTCATCATGACATGATTTATATAATTTTTGTAGAGGACCACAACTTAATCCTACATGACAAATATTTTAGGTCTAGGCTGTTCATTTTTATTCAAATAAAATGTTTACATATGTCCAGTAAATAAATGTTTGTAAACTAAATGGCACCCAGGGTGGGGCTATTTTAAGCAGATGGTCATCATTAACATGTATATAACAATTGAACCAGTTAATTTGTTAAATTTGTGAACAATAACAAGTTCCTGTTTAATAAAGTTATCTATAATTGACTAAATTTTAAAAACACATCCAAAGTTTGATAACAGTATAAGTTAACTTAAAATACATAAAATAATTTCAACTTGTTTAAAGAATAGGTACATGTTAAAAATTGATGCTGAAAGCAATGTAAATGTAATTATAATTGTAACTTTTCCTTAATTTGTGAAGCATTTTCCTTGTTGGTTCTTTTCTAATTTGAGAAAATTAACAGAAGTACATAAATAGAATATAAAGAAAAATGCATGCCTCTCTCATTTGTGAAACAGAACTGAACATTTTTAAAAATTGGTTATATTACAATTCTTTAAATAGGAAGCACAATATTGACATAATTTAATTATGAGAAATTTGCAAACTTACTACAATCTATTTGTTAAAGGCACATTATTCTTAATAAAGAATTTTTTTTTATATAATAATGTTTTTTAAGTTCACTATATAATCTATAGAACACACATACAAACACACAAACAAAGGTGAATCGCTATATGCCACCGCATCGCAGATGCTGTGGTGGCATAAAAACATTTCAGAGCCACAATGGGCCTTTAAAATAATGACAAACACACATTATCCAAACTGCTTATAGGGTTACAGAACAATTTTATTAAAAAATATTCTTTTTCCTACCTTCCAATAAAACATTAAGGCTCTTACGAAATTGATAACTTCCTCAAATTAAAAATTTAAAGTTACTAACAGGATAATAACATACAGTGTTAAAAGGCATGTGGTTTTAAAATCAACAACCTGAAACAATTTGCCATAGATGCCCGATTTTTTTCAATAAGCCTCATTATTCTACCGATATAATTTTTTTAAAATATATTTTTTAAAATTCTCCAGGATTCTGTCTACACTGGAAGTGGAAGAGAAAGGTGAAGTGGAGATAAATTTATTGTATGAAACATACAAATTCAGTATTTTGGAATCTGGAAGAAAGGAAGCTACATTAAGCAAAAATGCTTTCATTGATTACATGAAATGTTTGTTTCCTAATGCCCAAAAGAAACGTAAAATATCTGGGGATTCAAAGAAAACGTTTTACACTGGAATTAGTATGAAAGATTTAGAGTCAATTGACAAGAGTGCAATTTCTTTTGACGAAATAACTGATTTGTTGCCAGCTGGAGTTACTGTTCATTCAAAATCGGAAAATACTATTGTTTTAAAACAAGAAAGCAATGACTTATGTAATGGAAATAATATCGTCATGTCCTTAACTCTTCATAACAATGGTACCTTTGAAGTTTCAATTTCTGGAAAAACTGTTGATTTATATAAGGTAAACATTGAGTCATGTTATCAACTCAACAAAAATAGTGTGTCAACTATTCTTTTAATATTTCAATCTTTAAAATTGTGTAAAGGATTGAAGTATGATAAGTCTGTTTTTGTAACCAGATTCCACACTTTAGATACCTGGACAAGTAATGGAAAATCTTTCAGATCTTTACGATCACTGTCATGTCTAAAATTAATACCAGTAAATTCCAAATCATATACATGCAGAGTATGTCAGCAACAATTTTGTAAAAAAGAAAAAGAAAGTCTTCAACCAAGTAGTTCCATAACTTCAGAAACATCAGAAAATACCTCAAATGAAAATACCATTAAAAAACTTTTCCCAAATGCACCACCAGCTATGTTAAATATGCTAAAAGAACAGGCAAAGAATGTAGACAGGCATCCTAATGGGAGACGTTGGTCAAAGGAGTTTATTGCTACATGTGTACAACTATACAATAGAAGTCCTAAATCATATCAGCTACTTGTAGACAGTAAAATGCTTATTCTTCCATCCAAATCTATTCTCATTCTTTATAAAAATGCAATAAAACAAGAACCTGGTTTTGATCCAGAAATATTTGAATGGATGTTTGAGGAAGCCAAAAAACTTAATATAAATGAAAATGAAAGAATTGGTGGACTCATATTTGATGAAATGTCTATTCAAGAAGATATTCAAATTGAAAAAATGGTAACATTTTGGAATTAACAGGATTTACAGAATTGGGAGAAGAGGGAAACTTATGTGAAAAATTACATCAAGGCAGTAACAACAAAGTGGTTGGCACCCACGTCCTTCAACTACTATTTGTAGGAATAAATGGATTTAGATTTCCAATTGCCCATTTTGTCACTGACAACGTACTAGCTTCTCAATTATATGGTCTATTTTGGAGAGCAATATATCTACTGTCTTCTTATGGTTTTAAAGTACTTTATACTTGTATGGATGGAGCACAGTGTAACAGAAGCTTAATGCATTGTTGTCTTGGAAAAAACCCAAAGATATTTAAAACACCTTCTGTTTGTACGGCAAATGAAATTATTTTTATGATGGATATTTCTCATGTTTTAAAAAAAATTAGGAACAATATAATAAAAAGTGGTTTGGATAAACATTGCACAAGATTGTTGAAATTACCAAATAAATTTGAAATTCACTGGAAAATGTTTATAGATTTTTTTGAATGGGACCAACAAAATTCTCTTCAACTTCACAGAAAACTTACCAATGAGCATATTTATCCTGATAGTCAATTGAAGATGAGAAATTACCTTGCAGAGGATGTTCTCAATAGTACAATGTTAAATTCATTTAAAATATATAAAGAAAATTTGGGGGAAAAGGGACAGATTTTGAATGGGGTTATTGAGTTTTTGGAGCATACATCACAACTTGTAGCAATTTTTCGAGATGGAAGACCAATAAAAGAAATGTCAGATACACGTTTAAATGAACTGAAATTAGTGAATTCTTGGTTTTTTGAATGGGAGGAAAATACTCCTCAAAATGAGAAGCAACGAAATCTCATGTCACACCAGTGCCATGAAGATATCCACTCTTGTATCCTTGGATTTTTGGACTTATGTGAAACTGTATTAAAACTTCAAACTTCTTCATTTGTAACACCTAGACTTATCAATTCTGACGTCATTGAAAATATTTTCAACCAACAAAGGTCAACCTATAATGGAGCCAATTCAAACCCAAATGCTGTCCAATATAAGCAAACTATTAACAGCATAGTATTAGGCCAAACTTCGATTTCCAAAAAAGCAAATGCAGCAAGGGCACACACAGCTTTACCATACCCAATTGATGTAAAGAAACCAGCTTTAAAAAAAGGGCTAAAACACCATATGAAAGAAGTCCAATAAAAGTGAAAAAATTGTAAGTTTCAATAAAGAAATAGAGGTAAACATTGAAACCACTGAAGTATTTTCAGTGCTTGACAGTAAAACAACAGCCTGTATAAAGTGAATTTATTAAATATTTAAAGGGACGTTATTCTTTTTAAACTCATGTTGGACTTGTTGCCTATTGACTGTGAAATATGTACTGAAATAAGTGTATGCAATTTCAATCCATTCCGTTCAGTAGTTATGGAGATACCAGCTTACACGCAAAAACTTAACCAAGAATTTTTAAAAAAAAAGGTGCATTATTATGCAATAAGCAAATCAGAGTTATGGGACTTGTGCCAATCATCTTAGATAATCACAGAGAACAAGTGTGTGAAGTTTCAATCCATTCCCTTCAATAGTTATGGAGATACCAGCTTACACGCAAAAACTTAACCAAAAATTTCTAAGTCAAGAAAGGTGCATTATTATGCAAAAAAGCAAATCAGAGTTATGGGACGGGTGCCAACCATGTAAGATAATCACAGAGAACAAGTGTGTGAAGTTTCAATCCATTCCCTTCAGTAGTTATGGAGATACCAGCTTACACCCAGAAACTTAACCAAAAATTTCTAAGTCAAGAAAGGTGCATTATTATGCAAAAAAGCAAATCAGAGTTATGGGACGGGTGCCAACCATGTAAGATAATCACAGAGAACAAGTGTGTGAAGTTTCAATCCATTCCCTTCAGTAGTCATGGAGATACCAGCTTACACCCAAAAACTTAACCAAGAATTTCTAAAAAGAAGGTGCATTATTATGCAGAAAAGTAAATCAGAGTTATGGGACTTGTGCCAATCATGTTAGATAATCACAGAGAACAAGTGTGTGAAGTTTCAATCCATTCCCTTCAATAGTTATGGAGATACCAGCTTATACGCAAAAACTTAACCAAGAATTTCTAAAAAGAAGGTGCATTATTATGCAAAAAAGTAAATCAGAGTTATAGGACTTGTGCCAATCATGTTGACTTATAGGACTTGTGCCAATCATGTTAGATAATCACAGAGAACAAGTGTGTGAAGTTTCAATCCATTCCCTTTAGTAGTTATGGAGATAAAGGCTTACGCGCCAAAAATTAATGACGGAGATGCTGACACAGACAAATAGGTGACTGCATTAGCTCGATTATTCTTGGAATCTAATATTAAAAGGAAACAATTCTCAGTGTGTCAAAGAAGAAGAAGTCACATATAATGTTTTCTTTGTTCTGTTTAAGCTATATTCAAACTTAAACACAGAACAGAAAACACATGTACAGATAAATATGAAACAGGTAATAAAACTATTAAATGTATACCTTTTTATTTCACTTGTACAGGTGTTGTCTACTTTGTCAGCGGAATCATTCTCACTGCTTACTCTTTCTTGTGGCTCATTCAAGCTGAATCATTTAGCAAAATTTAAAATATTTTTTTCTCAATTACATTTCCTTAAAATAAAAATTTTTAAAATAAGCTTTTGCCAAACAACCAAGAAAGTAGTAGCTTTTATTTGCTTGTATTAAATTTCCAAGTTTACATTGATAACAGCTGAAATAATAGTATCATTTGATTGTAGATTTCAATCTTTACTTTTGTTAAAATTCATAATTATTTGTATATACTCTTTGCAGCTATGATATTTGTAAACTGAAGGAAATGCAGATGATTAACACGTGTACTTTATCAAGTCCACTACCAGCAAATTTAAAAATATTGGATACTGATGAAACTAAGAAATGGACACCATGAACCAAACTTAAATCTGTATGCTTCAAAAACAATTGAAACAGGTATTTAAAAAAATGTTTACCTTCTTATTTCATTTGTAAAATTGTGTTCCACTTGTTTCTCTGTGTGAGGGGAATCACTATCACTAATCACTTTTTCTTGTGCATCAGTCATGCTGAAACATTTATTCCATTATAATAATCAAATGCCAATTTATATGCCAGTTTTTTAAAATAACAGATATTGCAATAAGCTTTTTTTCCAAATAGCAAAAAAAGCTAGTTTTTTTTTGCATTTTATTTCTCACTATTAAAATTTTTAATATACAGTCATAAAATATGACTGAGGTACATTAAAAACAGCATCATCGCATATTCTGATTGAATATATATGCATGGTCGATATATTATGATATATATCTATAATATAGACTATATGTAATTTATTTTCATTAAAATGAGAAGAAAATGTTGAATATATACTAAATGCTTAGGTGTTTTACCACAAATGAATTGCCTTGTACTTAAGTGTGTTTGAATCCCTTAAAGGCCTCTGAATTTTTTCATGTTAGGAAGCTACTTCCTTTTCAGCTTCCTTAAGAATTGTGGGTGGTTCGACTTAAGTGCCAGTCTGTTCATGCTTGACATGATGGATGGAAATTCAGCTGGATTATTTTTCCACCATTTAAGCTGGAGAGTTACAATACAAACATTACACTGTTGGTGTGACTTAAGACCCAACAACAGAAAATAAAGAAAAGATATAAATGAAACCTGTTTTTTTTATGGCAACATGATATGTCATATGAAATATCTTTTGAAGGCACATCCATGAATTCTGTAACACTCTTTGCAGGTTTCATTATATACCGACGGTGATAATTAATGACACGCAGTCCAGAGGATGATGACGCTCGAGATAGAGCAACACCTAACTGGCCATGGCGGAATATGTCTCTGCAGTCAACTTCTACCCTGAATAAAGTAAATAATGTTTAAATTTATGTATATATTACAACAATTTTTGCTGACATATTTTATGTTTTAATAATTGACTGATGTGATAAAATTATATTCATTTCCCTATTTATTTTGTTATTAAGAATTAATTAAGACTATACATGGCTAGAGGGTTATTTTCGTGAAAACTTTGAAAACAATTATCAAAATATGTGCCAAACTTACAAACTTTATAAAGTCTGTTTAACATAAATTATTTGAATGCTTGCAGCTTTAAATATAAGATTATAAGAGTAAAGAAAGAAATAAAACAAAATTTAAAATAGATATTATAGAATTTTAAATGAAATACTACGGTTAAAAGGAAATGAATGAACAGTGGAGTTAATAAAATTACCTATCTAATGTCATGCCTTGAGCTTTATGAATTGTTAATCCAAATGCAAGACTAACAGGGAACTGTTCACGGATGGCAGTGTCAACACACATGGAAGGATTGAAAACTACAAGAATGAAATATAAATTTATGAGTTTCAAAAATGTACAAATTTTAGAACAAATGGAAAAAACAACATTAGTAAAATAAATATTTAAATATTTTATCAAACAATATATTTTTATAGGGAAATAAATGTAAATTCATATGCAAGATATTTTTTTTCTGGTAGGGGGGGTGTACAGATTCAATTCTACATGAAAATTTAGGATAGTGGTCATGTAGTGAAGCATTATTCTTTATCCTACATAAACATTTATTTTGTGTAAGAGAGAAATGTTTAATATCAATAATATCACTTTATTACCTGTGAAGTTCACTTTGGGTACTTTTGTGACAAGGCCCAATGTGTTAAAATTAATGACAGGTCCGTCTTCATCAAAACTGTGAACAATTCCTCGGAGACCATTGACCAACTTGTCCGAAAGATTTTGTAACAAAATCACTGGGCATCCTATTTTTAACCACAAGGTATGTGGGGCTTTTATTTGGAATAGCTCCGATTTATCTCCACTGTCTTTTGAAACAAACTCGTATATTTCACCTGGATGTTTAAGTATACAGTTCCTGTTGTAATCATCAACATGCTGATTAATTGAAAACAATTTTACGCTATTTTCATTTTTATGTAGTGGTCGATTAAGATCATGAAGGAATGATTCTACTTCAGGGGTAACATTACCATTAAAGATATCATTTACACTTTTGATAAGTGTATTTTCCCTTGTTCGAATGTTGTCCCTTAGTACAACCCTGTGCGGAAATACCTCAGCAAATTTAGGGGAAACAAAGCAGTATTTTCCATCATCATGGTAACGTATGTTGGCTACTGGAGGTAATTGGAAAAAATCTCCACAGAAAATTAACTGCAACGATGTTTCTTTGGTTGAACATACCATAAGGATAGTTTCGAAAGTCTTAAGACTTATCATAGAACACTCATCAACTATAAGACAATCAATGTTCTTCAGGTTATCTTTTACATAATTAAATTTTGAGTTCTCAACATGTATTTTCTTTATTTCGTCTGCCTGAAAACGACAATCATAAAGTCCTAATAAAGTTTCCTTTTAAAAGGAAAGGCTTGCACAGTTGTGCCTTCATCCCAACATATTTAGTTGTTTTTCTTTTGTAAAATCGAATATTTTTGTCAAAACGATTTGAAATCTATCCTCTATTGTATAGAACTAATAAAGAAAATAATCAATCGTAAAAATACTAACGTGATATCTATCTATCATACTGAAAGGAAACAAGTGTGCACATTTCATTTCCACTTCGTTACGTGGTACCAATTAATAAGCATCGCTATCTATAGATCATCACGTGGTAAGGTTAACGATATGCATGGACTATTTTTAGATTACCTCACCAAGTTCAGTAGAACTAAATATAACTCGATCATGCACTAATATTCTGTGTGAATTGGACCACCCTTTGAAGACGGAATACTACTACAGTCAACATCCTCTATTGTATAAAACTAATACAGACAAAAAACAATTATAAAAGAAACTAACTTTTGCGTCTTGAAAAAGAATTGAAACGGAACAATTTCGTTTATAATTTATTACGGTTTAAATCAATAAATCAAGTTCAAAATATGAATCCTATTTATATAAACAAACTGGGATTACCGAAGTAACTAAAATAGCTTAGATATCCGTAATATTACTTCGTCTGATTCCGCAGCATTCGATTGATTCTGCAGTATGACGGAATCGCCCGAATTGTCACGATTGCAATCGGAACTACATCGGCTATTATCATTAATCCGAAGAGTGACGAAAAAGGCCGAAAAGTTGCGATTGGCACGATTGCAGCTGGTTTCCCGTTCAATCATGCACTTACAAATGCAAGCAGAAAACCACCTAACCGGAACAAGTTTTCCATATGAAATGGCTTGCAGCCGTGGCTGCAAGCCAAAAAGGGGTTACACGACTTACCGGAATCGGCCGAATTACCGGAATCGACCGGAATCGGCGGTGAATTACCGGAATCGACCTGTAACTTTGTAATAAGTAAACTTTTTACGTTTTTTCTTGCAATTTTATAAAATATAAACAATATCAATGATTTATGAAAAGATTTTTGTAAATAAAATTGCATTTGATTAATTTAATAAGAGATCTAATATCGGCGAGCTACTGCCAAACCGGTATGACTAAATACCGAATATGAACTCATATTCGCGAAATTATATGAATTCATGTTCGCGAATATGAACGGGAGTACCGAATATGAATTTTATTTTCATAAAAAACAGCTGTTTTTGGATATTTTTCGTCCACAGAGAATAGAAAATATCATTTACTTGTATCATGTCTTTGAATGAAAAAAATAGATAAATCTGACTTTAATTTGTTATAAATATTGTGACCAGAACGGTAGGCCTATCCGAATATTAACAAGAATAACGAAGATGAACATTAGGCCTATTGTTTATAATCTTCTAAAATTTAAGTATAGAAAAGAAAGTTAAAAGTTAAAATTATATATGTTATGTTAATATTTGCTTTATTCAACTTTATTTAGTCACCACGGCCAGAACGACGTACAGTATATATACATGTATATACATGTATATGTGAATACGAGGTTTTTGTTTTTTTTCTTTTATTTTTTTTTACCCCTATTGTTAATTATTCGGTCACTAATAAAAGTCTGAAAGAAAGAAACCTTGATTAAACATGGATGACAATTTATATTTGCTAGGTTAATTGCAAGTTATCGCACCTTATAGAGATATGTAATTCATATTCGTGAACGAATATACCGAATATGAATTTTAAACATACAGTAACTCAATATGAAATTTGTTGGAAAAGTTTTGTCGATAGAGACTACCATTTACTGCATCATATCTTTGAATGAAATTAAATGAATTTAATGCATTGGTCCCAAATATCGTGACCAGAAATGAACGAGACTACCGAATATGAAAATTATTTGAATATATGTTCAACAATATTTCACAGAAGAGAAAAATAGACATTGTATCTTTAATATGGTATGGTTAATAAATAAATTCTTCATTGAAAATTAAAGTAAATCTACATTAACTGCTTGTAAATAAGTCACTACGGCCAGAAAGATTACAAAAAATATTATGGTATATGAACACGGGAGTTTTTATCAACATTATTATTATTCCCTTGTTATGAAAAAAATTAGCCAGATTGTTTTATTTCGGTCACTAGCAAAGTCTGAAAAAGAAGCATAAAACGGAAAAGAAACCCAATATGATTTTTATATATGAGCTCTGTTCTCAACAGAATATATAATTAACTTTCATATCAGGGAATGAAATTAAATTTTACTGTATTGGTTGCGAAATATCGGGCCCAAAAAGATTCCCGAAAGAGAACACCAAATGCAAAAATTATATCTTTTATATATCATCATGTGGTTACAAATATTATATAGAAAGAACGAATCATCATAATTTGAACACGAGATTTTATATGAACAAAATACCTCATCGTTTTTGTTTTTGTCACTAATAAAAGACGGAAATAGAGATTTGTTTGAACATAATCTACCGGTTATATTTGCAAGATGAAATGAACTATTTTTTGTAACTTAATATAGCTAGAAAGAATCCTGATATATACGAGAATACCAAATTCTAAAAAATGTAGAACTATTATTAATTGAAATATTGCTACTGCTACTGTTATTTTATATGTAATATTGTCAACAAGACATTATTTGGGGGAAAAAACATTATTGATTGCTGGAATATTCAAAAATATATATAAAGAAACAAAACATTTTCGAAATAATAAATAGCATAAGGGTTTGTCCAAAGTTTAAAAATGTCTTACTGAATATATATATATTTATTAACACCACTGGTGGCATTTTTATGAGAAATTGTTACATGTATACGCTTAATAGCGACCATCAGAAAAACTTGATAGAGTTAAACATCAAAAAGATTATAAGTAGAAAGTATATAAGACAGAACATAAAAAGTATATATATAATTTATAATATGTCGACCACGGTGGTTAGGATCCAGCATATAAATATTCGTCAAAGGATCCGAACATCTATATATGAGCTAGGTCCAAAGTTAAGATTTTCTTTGCTATAGTTGAATATATAAAACACGTATTTCATAATGCACATGTATCATATTTTACTTTTGCTGAGTGATAGACAAGTACGAGAACATTCTCAAACATAAAAGGGAATACAGTTTAAAAGCATATATCAGAAATAGGTCTACTGTAAATGTTTTATAAACCCGAGAAGAATGTGACTAGTCATACATTAACACACATGTATTCACGTACACACGTGCTATTGGAATGGTATTGTAAAACTAAGTAATGTTTAAGTTCAGATATTTTTGTTGTGTTTTTTTCTTCATATCAAGTATATATTGCATGGTGTCTGTGTCACCTGTCAATTTTTGCTCCATACCTTCAACATCAACACCTTTTGATAAGAGGCTGCTGAATTTGTGTATAGAACTGTGTTACTGCCCCTTCACACCTTCGAATTGCAGTACCTGACAGGTAATCATGACATTTTTTGTTTGTTTGTTAAGTTTTAAAGTCTGTGTATTATGTGAATAATTATGGCATATGTCATTACACTGGTATATAAAGAATGGAAGATCCATGATCGTTCCATTCAATTCAAATCTACTCATTTTGCTAGTTTTTGAATATTAGTGAACATGTCTGTAAGGCGTTCTGCTAGGTTTCCTTGTGGTGATTGTGCCAAGAGTTGTGCAAGTTCTAACTGCATAAGTTGTGGCATGTGCTCTCGATGGTTTCACATAAAGTGTGAGAAAATTTCTAACATTGACTTTAAGTTGTGGTCTTCTCTAGAAATGGATTATCTCTGTAGATCTTGCAGGTCTGTGAGTGGCGACGGATTCGATTTTGACTACATGATGGGGATGCAACGTCTGACTAAGGTAACATATTTTAAATCATCTAATAGCTAAGACTTCAACTTTTCTTCTCATTGCAGCCAGGTGAATTTATGATGAAAGGGCTGCGTTCCCTTACCCTAGCGGTGTCCCATATAGAAATACCCTAAGTTATCAAAAAAATAAAAACTGACTTAACCATATCAAATAAGCTTATTTTTATGTAGAGCAAGGTCTATACAAAAAATTAGTCCATGATGATTCTAGATGAATATTTTATAAAGATGATGTACTGTGTAAAAATTCTCGGTACCATTAAAATACACCATGGGATTTTTGTCGGGGCAACGGAGTGCAAAATTTAAAATATTACAATAAAATACGATTGGAAATAGATTTTATGAATATGCATTAGTATGTGATGAATAAATGAATATTTTGTTACAATAAAAATAATCTAAAAGCAATGTTTTCTTTATTAAACGCATTGTTTTATTGTAATACCGTTCATATCTCCGTTGTGCCGATGAATTTTAGTTCAACGGAGATTGATTTTTTTTCAAAGCTACCAAATAATGAACTTTTTTTTATTGAATTTGCGTTAGTATATTTTCTAAATAAAGTCATATTTTGAAACAGCAGAATCAACATAAAACTTTTTTTTTCATTATAAGTATTCAATGTATCGTTGCAAAAATTCATCGGCGCAACGGAGATTTCCAAAATTACTGTTTTTTTATCTCTAAAAAATAGTTATTAAAAATGATATAAAAATTTGGTATTGGTCACACGGTAGAATATTCTAAATGCACGGCGAATTGGACTTAACTTCGGCGCAACGGAAAATAAAGATTTGCATAACGGGTAGATCTTATAATAACTTATAATCGTGAAATTAGTAATACAAATTGATAATAATAATTAATAGTCTTTCAAAAATGATCACTTTAAAAATGATTAATTTAATTGAATAAGTATATGTTAAATAGAGGATATTGAATGAGTGTAAGTTCAATACTGAATTTATTGCACGAGTTGAATAAAATTATATTATGCGAGCCTCTGGCGAGCATAATATTATTTTATCCAACGAGTGCAATAAATTCAGTAATGAACTTAATCGAATTTAATATTCTATTTATCACATACCCGAAAAAAAGACCGTTT